TCATTGGTTTTGTAGAGCCCCATTCTCTAGGAGCTGTCTACATCTGCTTTGTTTCAATGTCCAGCATAAGCGAACGTGTGGATCAAGCATAACTGCTTGGTTGACGCTGCCGCGGGAATGCGTATAATAATAATAATAATAACATAACATACCGCAGAACTAATATTAGGCGCAGCTTCCCATTTTTCTTTAGAACCACACCCAAAGGACTGACCACAACTAAGGTGGCCAGTGGGGCTTCCTCAACGGCACCCGACAAACATAAATCCCGTATATGGGAAGACACAAACTCAGCATGGGAGAAAACAGTAGGGGAATTACAGATGACCTTTGGAGGAGGAAGGGCAGCGAAACACAAAAAAAATAACCACTCTCAATAATAATAGCAATGAAAAGTATGAATGCCGCAGACATCACCACGCAACATGACAATTTGTTCAAGGTTTGGTTTTGTGTGTTTCCAAAATCGATTTTCACGTTCCGATCATCAGTGGAAATACGGAACTAAAGAGATCAAGGGAAAAACAAAGGTTAAAAATCCAAAGAAGTGTGACACATGACGGGTAACTTGTGGTAAGTTTTACAAAAAGTGAGAACTAAAATAAAGAGTAAGTGTGACAAACGGGCATGAACAGTGCAGAAACAACTCCTGAACACGGGGTGCAAACTCACGAAAATAACCTAAGTGCTAAAACATGTTCTTTTTGCTTACACAAATCGGGCTTATGCGTACGAATACAAACAGCTTCAAGGACCTTCAACTGCTGGACATAACGGGCACGACACAGTACAGAGAAGTGGGAATCATCATACACACTCAAACAATCGGGACGAGATAACAAATGCAAATACACAGCTGACTTCTTACGAATTTCACCCTCATCAGCTCCATCACCTTCCCTGCCACCTGACTCCTCCTCGTCCGTTTTATCACCATCACCACCAGCCGTCTCACCGTCATCCGCCTCGTCTTCATCCGCCGCCTCGTCATCACCCGCCTCGTCGTCATCTGTATCCTCGCCGTCATCCGCCTCGTCGTCATCTGTATTTGGATTTTTAACCTTTGTTTTTCCCTTGATCTCTTTAGTTCCGTATTTCCACTGATGATCGGAACGTGAAAATCGATTTTGGAAACACACAAAACCAAACCTTGAACAAATTGTCATGTTGCGTGGTGATGTCTGCGGCATTCATACTTTTCATTGCTATTATTAAACTTTTATCTCCACGTAGACTCTCAATAATCTTCAACACAAACTCTGACGCACCAATACCACGCCAAAAACTAACACATGGCTTTAGCCGCTAGGCCTTGACAGATTATGCTAGCATAATTTTTTGCATAATTCCTACCAGAATCGAATGATCGCATAATTCGAGACAAATGTTTCTGAACATTCAAGTGATGCTAACGCGGATCCCGCGAATATTTTATTGTATAATTATTGCATACGAATCCCATAAAATTTGAATAATCCGCCTGTTCGCATCAAATTCCATACCTTTGGACAAGTTCTACAAGTACAAGTACCAGTACAAGTAGATGCACCAGGAAGTCGTAGGTTTACGACTCCCTTGAGAACATGTCCAATCCACTACAATCAGTGACGGGCGTAGCTAATTCGGACGGTGCATTGACCCTGTTGAACTTTTGCTACTACAGTACAACGCCCTCTAAAAAGAATTCCCCTGTTATTTTGCACAGAGCCATTATACAGTAGCAGTATATGTGAGCATAATGCGGCATAATATGACAACTTTTAGCATAAAAATAGCATAATTCTGCAATTTTTTCAGCAATGCGAAAAGCATAATTTCACGAAAATATCAGCATAATCTGTCAAGGCCTATCAGCCGCCCTTGCGCACTTATCTTATTGTGGGTGCTGGGGTGGCATGAGGGCTGCTGAAGCTGGTGAAGCACTAAACATGCTGGCGCCCCTGAATTGCCCATTTGCTGCTCCACCAAATTGCAGTTGGTGTTGCGGTGGACCACGCTGCTGGCTGGGGCATACCCTGGCGATGTGGCCCACCTGTCCACAGGCATAGCAGGTGACTCCCGCAGAGCCCAGAACTCTGCCTACATCTCTGAACGCCCCAAAGCCAGTGTTTCTTCGGGCGAAATGTGCAGGCGGTCACGACATATACTGCTGGCTGGGGGTGCGAAAATTCCGCTCCTGATGCTCCCGCGTGCTCTCAGAACGTGCTGCTATCCGCCGTGCTGTGGCAGCCGCCTCAGCAATCCTCTTGTCATCTGCCATCCCGTCACCCAGCACATATACTTCGACTGTTTTCCAATCGTAAGCGTCCGCAATCCGGAGTTGATTTTGGCGGAGGGTCAGGGTCGCCTTACTTTTTGCTAGGTATGTAGCCGCCTCATGACCTGATGGCAGTTGAGTGAGCGCTCCCTGCACGCCATCGAGCATAGTTTGGTTTACGTCAAATTGCTTTTGCAGGCCAGCTTGCTTCAACGTGAACTGGTTCGACTTGGGGGCTGCCAGCTCAGCCCGCGCAGCCCTCGTCTCTCTCTTGACGTCCTGGATCTCCTCTGACAGCTGTCCGAAGGCCTGCGCGAACCAAGCTGGTGGGGAGCCGGCAACCTCAAGGGAATCCACCATGACAGGATCCGGAGCAGGTACTTGCTCCTCGACGTTGCCAGCACGGATACGCTTTGGGGCCGTACCCACAGGTCCAGGGGAAGCGGACCGGGTCCGCTTTTTTCTGGATGGAGCTGGGGTTTGAACCAGGGGTGCAAGCGAAACGCTTGCCAGCGAGTTTTTACTTCTCGTTTGTGGCATGGTCAAGCTCTTCCACGGACGAACAAAAATGCAAACTACAACGAAAAAAGAAAGACCACGATGAAGAGAAAAGTTTGAGAACACTGACAAAAAAACAGCTGACGCAATCCTGGTGCCGTAACTATGGTGAAAATACAGGTAAAAAATACATGTTATCGTTTCATTCGCTGCGCTCAGCCAACGAAAAATAACACTTTCTTAAAACACAGAGACGGTTTCAGCAACTTGCATTAGTTACGGCACCCTTGCGGAGAGCACCAGTTGTGAAAAATCATGGCATCTTTGGGAAATGGCTACCTGACACGAGGGAAGCATAGATGCATTGAATGGGATTTTCGGTCTTTGACCACTTTCCTGGTGGGTTGATCTACTCACCTCTTTAGAAACTGGATCTGCTCCTTAGATCTTTGGAGAGTGGTGCCGTTCCCAAGGATGCTGAAAACTCAATCTAATTGAGTCTTAATCGAACCGTACATTTTTTTACTGACGATCAACCCTGAACAGCGTTGTACGAACACTTCTTCGTATCATTCCTTTTACACATCGTACTTCATCCGTTCTTTTTATTCCTTTTTTTCCTTTTCTCCATGCACATTATTTCTAACCGTTATCACAGGTAGAATATAGAAACTTTAATTAAGAGAGCATGTCTGAGAAAAGCTGGACTGGGCTATCTCTTCGATTTCTCTCAAATTTTGCAAGCACTTTTCCTTTGGGGTCTACAACAACCATGCGAAAGCGCTCGTTGCGTAAGTTAACGACACCTTGGAACTGGGGACCACCTCGAAATGGGCCCAAAATACGACTGACTATTGGGTCCAAGAACGAGCGCTCACACGGGTGAGCTGAGAACAAACCACCATCATGCCAACATTACCTCACCTGAGTAGTCTTCACATCACCACCACATAGAGCCATGGCTACATCTAGGAACGCAATGGCCACCATCTCCAAATATCACTAAATTGCTTCGCTATGATAGACAGATTTCAACGGCCACAGCGAGAGCAATTTGCGGCGTATATTTTTCTGAACCATGCACTACAGGACAATGGACTACCACCGAGGACGTGTCTCGTAAAATTGTTCCTAGTTTTCAGGAAATAAATAAATTTGAATATTTTCACTTCCCACATTGCAACATTGCCAAATTCCTACCCGACGACGGAAAGCGCCTCGTCACGCTCCAACACCAGGCACCGCTCCACACGCCAGCACGCCAGTAACTGGAGCGTGGTCATCTCTACCAAGCCTGGCAAGAAATTTGAACTGACAACCCCTGTCACTCCAGAGTCCAAACACGAACCATTTAATGAATCGAAATACACAAGCAGGAAAGCCCTTCAGAAGTGCAACAAATATTGAGCAAATCTCGATTTTCGAGTCCTTCGACTCTTGAAACTGGCCTTGCGCCAACCACTGCGTGACAAAGCAGATCGACGGATTTGATCGAGTTGATCGACAATCAAGATCAGAATCAAAATCTGGACGACGACTGCTGGATGAACAGCGGTACTGGCCAAGTATAAGTGACTGGAACGTGTTTCCTGTGTGCACCAAAGCCAAAGAACATGCACATGCACACTATAATAATAATATTATTATGTTGATCTACTAACTGAGTTGCTCTTTCCTTTGTCCTTGTATTTATGAAACACGCGCAAAGTTCGCGAGCCAATGAACGCAGTGGATTCCGTTCCTGCCAGTTGTCACTAGAAGACGGGCAGTGGATCTAGTTCCATCACCTTTGATCATGCATGACCACGCTTTCCAGCCCACGATATGTCATTGGTCGACTCCAAGGCGACAATCACATGACATACAGAAATACAAAGCTTTCAGAACTGTAACAACATGCCCTTGGAAATCAGCAGAACGGAGCTCCACATTTCATGATTTTCTACCGATTTTTTCGAGATAGTGGTGGTGTTCGTATTTGACAACACGCGTGTGAGCGGTAGTTAACCGTGACTTATCTGTGAACGACTGACAACAGTGATGTCAAATACCTGTCATTTGGTTGCACCAGCTGGCTTCTCTATTCTATTTATAGACTCTTGAGTTCCAGTCTTACTGTCAACTTTAGTATCTGCTGTGAGATACCATCCAGGTACATGTATGTGAGGATAAGTCTGGCAACATCCCATCCCTTCCACACCCTACAGAACGTGAGTGCTCATGCCCAATGTGCGAAACACCGGCGTCCAAAGTGGTTGACCCATTGCGCGACTGGTGCTGATCGCATTGGAACGAGATGACCTGAAGTAGAATTATATTTACAAAGAACCAGGTTGTACTTGCTAGCAGCGGCGAGTATCCAGTATCAGCTTATTTGCGTATATTGTGTGCACAATGGAAAGGAGACGCAAAGCCATTGGAGTGCTTACTCGTTTTAGAGGTGAGTCATTAATTCATATGGGTGTGACTACTTCGAAGTAGATGACTTGTTGGCTATCGTTGCACAACTGATGGGCATGGAGTGTGGAGGTGAACGCTGCTTTTTGAAAACGTGGCTATTCTGACGTTACCACACTACTATGGGATATATTTAGGAGAGGATGTACGCCGCAGGATATCTGACACCATTCGAACACGCGAGCCTACATGTACATTAGGTGAATGGACATAATTTTTACGAGATATATTAAATTGGTTCTCGCTTCACATACACTGGAACACACAGAGACATAGACAGCAATAGCGACAACACACAAAGAGAAGGGTACCTGGCCGCAGCCAGATGTGAACCGGATAACGAGTGAGGTATGGAAGCAAGGACTGAGACCAGAGAGTCTAAGATAGAATAGGCGTGCCAGTGGATAGTAGAAATAGGCCATGATGCAGAACCACTTGGGACCGCCAGATTAATTTTCCTGGACCGGGCCAGCCGGGGAAAAACCCTCGCGCCGACAGACGCAGTTGTGAGGGAAAACTGGTTTTATATCCCCAATGACGACTACGCATCATGTAGGCATGGCAAGCACATCACGGCAAAAAGTGATAAAAAACAGTGACAACATGCACAGGAATGAAGGGTAGGAGGGCAGGGACACTGGTGAGACTCAAAACTGATTGAAGAATTCAGGAAAAGAAGCGACAATAAAGAACACACCATATGCCATATTTGCAACTGAAAATATTTCTCGAGAAATCATTTCTCGCCTACCTCGCTGCGCTCGGCCGGTGAGAAATACAACAGCATACCGGTATATACTGGCACATCGCTGTGAACAAAATGATACACAAACATATCGACATCAGAGGGACTCGACTTGCGAACATCGGCGGGCTCATCACAGCCTCACAGAGACAGTCAGGCAGAACCTGATAATAATGACAATGACAATAATTTTTCCAGAGCAGGCTCGAAATTAACTCGCTGAATTGCTCAAACTGGCAAGTCAGTGAGCTCTGCGTATCAAAAGATATATCTACATTTGTTTTGTTTGTTTCTTTTATTTGAATTCGTTCAGAGCACAGGTAATTCTGCCATCTCACCAGAGGCAAAACCTCCGGTTCCTGCTAAGAATGAAAATAATATTATAAGAGAAGGAAATGTTTCTTCAGAATTCCCAAACTCCGTTCCAGCGTATTCCTTGGACTTGAAAACGCCGCCATTCCGGCACCAGGTTCTCAGCCCTCAATGCCCTGATGATGCCCAATGGGCGAAATATTGGCAAAGTTATTTATTTGGTGCAGCTGAGAGCCTGTTGCCGGAATGGCGGTCTTTTCAAGTGCAAAGAGAAGGAAATATTAAAAATAATCATAACATGATAATGCAAAAGCACTAAGTCTGTATATAATTCAAATGGGTGTGTGTATGTGTATGCATGCAGTGCAGAACACACAAAGAAAACATGAAGTAATGTATAGGCAAGGAAGGAGCGCGATTAACACTGGTTACAAATTACAATTTATTCTGTTCAGTGCCAGTTGAAGGGCAAAAGCCGCACTGTGGAGGCGAATATCACTGGGAAGGGCACTCCCAAGAGTGCTTCCCACAAATGTTAATGACTGACGACTGGAATGTCCAGGAAGGAAAGGCTTTTGTAGTAGCCGCTGTTCCTGTCCTCGAGTAATTCGGCGATCATCCTGGGATGCTTGGCCTGCATTAGCCGTCAACTGAAAGTATGTGCAGAAAAGAGGTCTTGCAAGATCATGTAGGCAACGGAAAACAGAAAAACAAAACCTTGTAGTGAAAAATGTGAGTTAGGGTTTGATTAGAAAAGCTCACCAGGAGGGGGGCTGTGGATGCACGGCTGGAAAATTGCACGAATTCCGGATTTGCTGGATTTGATTAAACGATTCTGCAGCTGCTGTTTCAGCGAAGGGAAGAATGCATTGGATGCGTACGTTAGTCGTGCTTGCAAAATTCCAATGTACCAAGGTCAGCGGGCTCTTATTGGCAGAGATCGCCCATTGCGCCATAGCTGGCTGATGGCGACTGACGTCTTCTGCACAACAATGGAGAAATGTGGCTGCCAGGATAGCTGGTCGTCAATGGTTACGCCAAGGTATTTGGGAGTGGAGGTGACAGTTAAGGCTTGATCCTTACATTTCACGACTGGTATGTTGCCAGTGAGTCCCTGAGGTTGAATTACCATGACTTGGGTTTTGCCGGTATTCAGCAGAAGCCCAATTTCGGAGAGCCAGTAGGACAGACATGTCACAGCCGTAGTCAAAGTCTTGCAAACAGTGTCCAGATCTGAATCAGAATAATCTAGGATGATGTCGTCCGCGAACTCCTGATGAACAACAATGCAAGGTATGACGTCGGAAATGTCACTCGTATAAAGGACAAAGAGAAGCGGCCCAAGAGCACTGCCTTGGGGCACACCTCTTGAGCATGCGACTGCATCAGAGAGAGCCTCACACACCTTGACACGCTGAGAACGACCAGACAGATAGGTAGCCAACACTAATAATACTCTGCCATTGACTCCCTGGGTGAATAATTTATCAATCAGACGTTGATGGTGGATACGGTCAAACGCTTTTGACAACCATCACAATACCCGTGTATTTACGCTCTTGTTAGGCCAACAGCCAACGGTTGGCGGCTGGAACTAATGCATCTTCGGCAGAGTGCATTTCCCTGAAGGCAAACTGACTGCTAGGTAATATGCTATGTTGCGTGAGGTATGCTGTGAATTGCTTCTTTAAAAAGAACTCCAAAATCTGGGACAGAAAAGGGAGCAAAGACAATGGTCTATAGTTAGTAGTCCTACTGGCTCACCGAAATTGGGCTTCTGCTGAATACCGGCAAAACCCAAGTCATGGTAATTCCACCTCAGGGACTCACTGGCAACATACCAGTCGTGAAATGTAAGGATCAAGCCTTAACTGTCACCTCCACTCCCAAATACCTTGGCGTAACCATTGACGACCAGCTATCCCGGCAGCCACATTTCTTCATTGTTGTGCAGAAGACGTCAGTCGCCATCAGCCAGCTATGGCGCAATGGGCGATCTCTGCCAATAAGAGCCCGCAGACCTTTGTACATTGGCATTTTGCAAGCACGACTAACGTACGCATCCAATGCATTCTTCCCTTCGCTGAAACAGCAGCTGCAGAATCGTTTAATCAAATCCAGCAAATCCGGAATTCGTGCAATTTTCCGACTCTCCAGCCGTGCATCCACAGCCCCCCTCCTCGTGAGCTTTTCTAATCAATCCCTAACTCACATTTTTCACTACAAGGTTTTGTTTTTCTGTTTTCCGTTGCCTACATGATCTTGCAAGTCCTCTTTTCTGCACATACTTTCAGTTGACGGCTAATGCAGGCCAAGCATCCCAGGATTATCGCCACTCTTGAACAGTGGACTAATGTGTGATGTTTTAAAACACACTGGCACAGTACCTGATGTCAAGGATGCCTTGACTAGGGTGGTAAATGGAGGTGCAAGGACGTCTGAACACTGCTGCAGTACAATTCCAGGAATCTTGTCACGCCCAGATGCTTTGTGAGGACTCACAGTTTGCAAGCATTGTGCAACTTCAGACACGCTTACCGGCTGAAATGTTGACAAGCTAGATGCAGAGGCTGGACCATGTGGTGTATGCAGCTCAGGTGACCGCATAGGGTCATGCACAATGTCTCCAAACAATTTACTGAGCGACTCAAGCGGCGCTTCAGGTTCTTTCCGTGTCTTCTGTCGGCCTGTGCCATCGTTCATGACAGCCTGAAGGTGCCATTGATCTGATGTATCACATCTTTTAGTGAAGTACAATTTGCGCAGCAGACTCCTGTCCAACTTCCGTGCTTTGGAGCAAGCTGATCGGTGCGCTTCTTGAAGGTTTTGATCGGTTTTGTCTCGGAGCCAGAGACGATGTGCCCGGTTCCGTTCACGAACACTTGCCACTAACTCATCTGTAATCCAGGGACAAGGGCGTCGAGATTTGCGGCGCCGTTCCCGAAGTGGAGCATGTTTGTCTAATTATTATTATTATTATTATTATTATTATGAAATGACCCAAAGGCAATGTGCCTATCGAGGGGTTCATTTGATTGAAAGAACAGTAGATGTAGATGTATGTACAAAGAGAAGTAGGGATTGATGAGGAGAGAAATGGGGAAAATCAACTGCAAGGTGGCGGAATTCCGTTGATTGCATAATGGTCTCCTCCAAGGCGCTTCTCGGCTCACGGTTGCGTAAAGTTACGAATTAGTTCGTGAAAATGAAGAAAGTTGTGAAAGTTGCGATTTCTTCCAAAAACAACCAAGAGTTGCGAAAAAAGTGGCGAGCATCCTTGGGAAAGGGCTATTTCCCACCCGTTCATACTCTCTAAAATAAGTGTCGGAATTCATGTTCGTGTTCACGTGACGGCAACACATATAGTATGGAATACTGAATGTTACTAATTACTGTTGAATGTTTCTATTCTCGGTTTATTAACTGCACAGCCTGCTGGCTCATGGCAGTATGTATCTGGTTGGAGAATCAAGGTGTGAAAGGTAATTTTCTATTCATTTATTATTTTACTATAATTCCAAATTCGTAATAAAAATAAATACGGTATTATCTCTAATATAAGCACAGTCTCCAATATTAACACGTCTCCAATAATAGAACACCTTGGGAGGGCATTCAAAAAATATAGTACTCAGTCTTCATTATAAGCACACTGTGAAGTGCTCTGAAAACCACCCAGGCCTTCAATAAAGGACACCGTACGGTAGTGTATGTACGCACATTGCATGTACATGTATTGTATACATTGCTTTTATTTTACATCGCAAGTCAAACGGGCAATCATGCCAGCCATACTATTCCGCATGTGTTTTGATTTGCACCACATGCATGATAGCCGTGAAGCCAATGAATATTCCAAGGTTGTAATCTAGCTGAAATGATCTACACTTTCTGCTTATGTCGAGCATATTTTGGCTTATCGCCTTCTTAGTATTTGACCCCACTAATTTCCCTTATACCTAAGCGGTCAAATATATCGCGTATTTGACTGCTTAGTCAAATACACGATATATTTGACTACTTATAATTATTTGACTCCTTAGAAATTCTTGGGCTTAGAAATTTTCTCTCCAAATTAAAAAAAGAAACAGTCACTCTTCCTTACCAACCAGCTACTGTCCTACCGATGCTGAACCTACTTTAAACAATGACCTTGATCCTGCAATGCCGTACAATGCGGTATAGGCTATAGTAAAATAATAGAATTACAAGGTTATGCCGTATATGAAGAGAAACTATTGCGTGGAGAACACGATAAATAGATTAAAGACCTCATAGTTGGTCTATACAGGATATATAGACCTCGTAACAGACCTCGGGGGACCTCGGTCTTTTACTCGGTCTATATATCCTGTATAGACCTCCTAACCGGTCTATAATCTATACATATTATGGCATATCTTCTTGCATATCTTGCTAAGCCTTTGGCGTATTATGGACGTTTTCCCTGATATGCGACGAGCATAATATGCTCTTTTTTAGCATATTTGGTCGAGGTATAATACTGTAACAGTGCCGGTATACCATTAAGTTGTCAGAAAATCAAAAACAAGATAAAGAAAGAGAATCGTTTGCAAGCAGGCTTTTCAACGTTTCGGTCTTCGTGACCATCATTCTGATGATCATCCTGATAATGGTCTTGAAGACCGAAACGTTGACACGATATTTCTAATGGATTTGTGTGAAATACAGTGCTCTGTTGAGTGTAGGCAGGTTGCCTGCAAAATATTCAAATGCATGAAGTGTTCTTCAAACATTTTGATAAAGAAGGAAATTGTTAATTATCAGTTTTTGGATTGATGTACATACCATGCATGCAAAACACAGCTGAGAACTCTGAGCCAGGCCAGGTACGCGAATTGGCGGGTCTGGCAAGCAACGAGCTCGAACATTACAGGAAATCTGTTGCCCAGTACCAAAATGCTGTCTCTCAGGTATCTGTAGCCTTTCATCCTGCTTGACTGAAAACGTTCTTTTGTGCGGGTGTTGCGACAGCAGCGTGTCGGGTATAGATTTCCATGCCCCAATACCGCAGTACAGGAACGACTGCTTCAAAGCGGTTGGAGCGGACACAGGGGGGGGGGGATCTGACAGTTGATAGGAGTGGCTATTGGCATTACTGTGCAGGTTCCTACTTCTGAGATGGGCTGGAGAAACGCTATGCGGTGGCATTACAGCAAGTAGCTGAGGAGGACCAGTGATTAACATCATTTTGTACATGAAGGAGAGAGCAGCAACAGTCCCGTGGACAGCCAGACTGGGGTGAACTGCAGTCGTTTGGACAGCTGGCGTTAGAATATGAGCTGCTCGTCGGAGAAAGCTAAGGTGCTCCTGGAGGAGGATGGTTAGGGTCCTGAGGTGACTAGCGAAGGACAATTTTGAGCCAAATCGAATTCAAATTCATGATAATACTGGTTTCCTCCAGTGCAGGGTGTCACCAAACAGGATTTAGGGCAGGTCCAGGTCAGTGCCTCGGAGGGTAGCAGTCATAGCCTGTTTTTGGAGAGTTCATCTTTTTGCTTCTTTTGGAAAGAAAAAAAAGAAGTCATAGCCTGTAACCTGGCGGGCTTGAACGTCACTTTCCACTGCTAACCCCACTCATGAAGGCGGCCTGTAGGTATCTGCAAGGTCAGTACAGCGTCCTGAGGGCACTGAGCTGAGGATACTAAACTGTATAGTTTTTATTTTCCTCGGAGGCCTCAAGCTTACCATTGCCAGCAAGAGCATCGGCAGCGTCAATCACATAATAATTATCGAGAGCATGTTTGAGAACACCAAAGTATGTGTGGAAGTGGATCTCTCCGATTGCGCTCAAAATTTGTAGGTAGGTTCACTTTGGGGTGTGAATCGATTGTGGAAAGCCCTTGGCAAAGTTTCTGAAGGGAACCTTGAAATTTGTATACCCCTCAAAAATGGCCGAAATATCACATTTTTTATGGGTCTAGAAACGAGTCACGCCACAGCGTATACGAACAAGCTATGAACTAAACTCCATCAAGCCAACATTGCCTCACCTTAGAAAACGTCCTGGAGCAGTACCGCTTAGCCTCGCCAGGATCCCAGAAGACGAGGTCCATCACCTCCTGACGCCAAAAATGATCGTCTTGAAAATGGCCAATTTACAAGCGCTGGCAAAACAGCCAGCTACGTCCACAATTGGCCAGAACTATACACCGGCAGATAGTAGAACACCTCTCCGGGCGCTGAGAACATGTCCCCCATCTTCCTTTTGGGGTTTTCTTGAAATAAACTTTTTCCAATTTTCCACTCGACCATGCTGAAATACGGCCAGTCATACCTGCGCAGGAATGCTCGCCCCTCCGCTACGTCTACTCAGCAATTTCTACTCCAAAGCTACTCCCAAGGCCGCAGAACAAAGTGTATTGTTGGCTCTGACAAGGAAAAGTAGCGGTGATCACTTGTCACTCCAAACGAGAAGCTTCTCCTTGCGCCACCAATAATTTTTTGTGCGACTTTTGATGCAAAAGTGACTGAAGGCATGAGCGCAATTCTTAAAGGGGAAGTTAAGGCAAAAAATAAAATTTCACCAGTTGTAGTCTTCGGGGTGCTGAGTCGAATGGTCTTGGTCCGAGAAAGCTGAGACGCTCCCTTCCTACTTGAATACCAATCGAACTCGTGCACTTCCACCGAAACTGGGTGACTGCGCCCTACTAGATGGGGATTTGTATGCAAAATGTCACTAAAAGCGCCATTTCGTTCTTATAAAAGCACGGATGACCGCGATTGGCCCATATGTTGTAGTCTTTTGGACGCTGAGTCGACTGGTTTTGGTCCGAAAAGGCTGCGATGCAGCGTTCCTCCTTTATTCCCAATCGAACATGGTTGAACAAGCGATCACGTGCTCCTGCGTACACCAGTCACCTGGTCACCGTGCCTGCAGGGTACAACTAACAAGTCTGTTTGACCTTTTTTGGGTGCAGTCCTGTCACTCGATTTGAACTCGAGTTGAACCTTGGTGTGAAAGTTGTCGCCTGCTGGCGTGGTGACCAGGTGATTTGGGCACCCAGGAGCACGTGACCACTTGTTCAACCATGTTCGATTGGGAATAAAGGAGGAACGCTGCATCGCAGCCTTTTCGGACCAAAACCAGTCGACTCAGCGTCCAAAAGACTACAACATATGGGCCAATCGCGGTCATCCGTGCTTTTATAAGAACGAAATGGCGCATTTAGTGACATTTTGCATACAAATCCCCATCTAGTAGGGCGCAGTCACCCAGTTTCGGTGGAAGTGCACGAGTTCGATTGGGATTCAAGTAGGAAGGGAGCGTCTCAGCTTCCTCGGACCAAGACCATTCGACTCAGCACCCCGAAGACTACAATTGGTGAAATTTTAATTTTTGCCTTAACTTCCCCTTTAAATTTTACTACAAGAGGCAAGGTGAAATCACGTGCCTTGTGACGCAAGAATGCCCACTTGCCAAGTCGCGTGGATCACGGCTCACGAGATTTCAGAGTCGCCTTCGTCAAGTGCGCTTGTTACTCGCCTTGAACGCCCGTTGGTCTGGAAGTGATCACACTTGTGTTGTTATTGCGCTCAAGAACACGGTGACCGTGTTGTAGGCCTATGAATCGGGACTTTCCCTGACCATGTAGGTCAAAGACCAGTGAAATGATTATGAAATCACATTCTTTATGACGTAAGAAATCTCTCATGCAGTTGACGCTCATTTTAAGTTCGTGTAGCCAGTGCTGCTCGCGTGCCAGTCAACACAAAGCGACCGAGCTAGCAGCTTTTGTCGAGCATCGAAATGAAAACAAGGGACTTTTACTGTTGGACTGTGTTCGGGATTGAAGGAGGTAAATGTGAAAGATGAATAACTCTCCATGACCATGCATATTTCAACGGCTTGCTGCCATTGCAACACTCCTAGGACAGTTTGTGGGGGTTCTCAGTAGATCAAGCAGGAAATGCAGCTCATCTTTCCTCTGCCATTATGGTCTGTTCCGAATAGCGCTCCAGGCACGTTTGCTATCGATGGCTGTGTGTCGTGATCCAGGAAGCGTCATCCTACGTCACAGAGCACGCCATATCACCGTGCTTCTTGCAATAAAATTCAAAAACTGCGCTCAGGACTTCAGTCACGTTTGCATCAACAGTCGCACAAAAAATTATTGGTGGCGCAAGGAGAAGCTTGTCGTTTGAAGTGACAAGTGATCACCGCTGCTTTTCCTTGTCAGAGCCAACAATACACTTTGTTCTGGGGCCTTAGGAGTAGTGTTGGAGTAGAAATTGCTGAGGAGACGTCGTTGAGGGGCGAGCTTTCCTGCGCAGGTATGACTTTGGCCGTATTTCAGCATGGTCGAGTGGAAAAATTGGAAAAGGTTTATTTCAAGAAAACCCCAAAAGGAAGATGGGGGCACGTTCTCAGCGCTAGAAGAGGTGTTCTACTATCTGCCGGTGTATAGTTCTGGCCAATTGAGGACGTAGCTGGCTGTTTTGCCAGCGCTTGTAAATTGGCTATTTTCAAGACGAACATTTGTAGCGTCAGGGGGTGATGGACCTCGTCTTCTGGGATCCTGGCGTTGCTAAGCGTTACTGCTCCAGGAACTCTTCTAAGGTGAGGCAATGTCGGCTTTATGGAGTTTTGTTCGTAGCTTGTTCGTATACGCTGTGGCGTGACTCGTTTCTAGACCCATAAATAATGTGATATTTCGGCAAGTTTTGAGGGGTATGCAAATTATAAGGTTCCCTTCAGAAGCCTTTTCTAGGGCTTTGCACAAGCGATCCACACCCCAAAGAGAACCTACCTCCAAATTTGAGCGCAATCGGAGAGATCCACTTTCACACATACTTTGGTATTCTTAGACATGCTCTCTTAATAACACCAAAAAAATTTAAAAATGGAAAATATCATGTCCGTTCCTGAAGGGAACTTACCACGGCAACTAACACCCAGTAAACCCTAGGGGCGGATGCGGCTCTTAACGGTGGGGGTGAGTGGATAAGTCTCACAACCACTGGCACAAGTGGCGAGGAACCCCATTAGCCGCATCCATGTACCCCTTGGGCCTGGCCACAAGTTCCCAATTGACTGTGGGGGGGGGGGGGTGGGGGGTAGCGACACGGCTGTAAAAACCGATCCGAGGCAGGACTTGAACCAAGTGCCTCTCCTATCTCAATCATGGTATTTGACCTACCCACTGTGCCTGCCCTGCAGAGATTGTGTAGCGAGAAGATATCTGCCTGCGGACTTAGCACTGGAGTGCACAGCCGTCGAGATAGGACTATAAAAAGCTGTGGAGAGTTCCAGTAATGCCGAGCTAACGAACCTTGTAGAGGAGGCCCACGTGGGAGACTCTGCCAAAGGCCCCGGCTATATCAACTGCGAAAATTCACTCCGCGCCGCCTTGGCCAATGATGCCCACCCAGGCGTTATTAAGGTTAAGTACGTATAGTACGTATGCCATAGGGAGACCCTGCGAAAACCAAACTGGTGGGGAGTGAGAAGCTGCTGGCGCTCATTTAACGATTGACACTAGTTTCCATTACTTTAGAAAAAAACATATGGAAAACAACGAGACTGGGCGGTAGTTTTTCAGAAACGAGCGCAAGGACCGGTTGTGATTTGGAACCCTGTTACCTGTCTTCCAAGATTTTGATTGAACTCCGCACCTGAAACAGAGAGCAAAATAGCTGGGACAAAGGCTTCGCAAGTTGTTTTGCACATTACTTCAGGACAGGGCTGAAATGCCGTCAGGACAAGTAACCTTTGATATGTAGAGTAGCGTTAGGAAACGGTAGGCGGTTGGCGGGCGAAAGTGAATGGCTTGGATTGCCGGTGATTCCTTTGTGACAAGGTCAGGTCAACCGTCAGAAGTATAATCCTGGCCAGTGACACTGCACTTCTTTGGGAAGAAGGTGGCAAAGGCATCCGAACTCTCACTGCTTGTTGCCCACTCCCTTCCATCCGCACCAACAATGAGAGGAATGTCTGTGTTATGTCAGTCTCCTCAAGGATACTTTATATTTGTCCACCATTATTTGTCCTTGGGTGAGTCATTAGAGAAGGTGTGATGGATATTGGCCTCTTTAGCTTCGTGAGATCGCCTTATGATGTTGGCAGCTGTGGTAACGGAGCGGAGGAAAGCTTGGTTGAGTGGAAGGTCGTTGGGGCATTTTCTCCAGGAGAGCCAACGGCTGTCTTTCTCCCTAATAGCAGCTGTACATTCCGGTGTCCACCACATGGGCTCAATCGGCCTCGTGGTAAGTTGTAAATGGGACAACGTGGCTATTGCGCCTCTGGCAATGCTTTATAAGACGGCTTTTAAGAGCCTCAAAGAGTTGGTGATGATGTTAAAGGTACAGCGCAGCATCACTTACAGTTGAGATATGATGGTGAGAACAGTCGCTGTGACATAGCCCATGTGCCAGGCACTAACCCATGCACAAACTGACTACATGTGGACATCGCCTGCCGTGCATCAGCTATGTGATGTGAGCAAACGGATACACATGGAGAATGAAGAACCATTTTTGTCCAAAATTTTCTCGCTCAGAGAGTGATTTTGGGCGAGCGCATATTTCACACTATTTCCAAAGTCAGGTGTGGTATAAGCATCATTTCTCTCCTTTTTTGTGTATAAAGTATCTTTCATTTCCTTCCCATTGGCTATAATAGACCCTTTGCACAATAAGCGAAAGGGGTCGAGACGGGGCATGCTGTGCACGCGCTGCACACTTGGCATGCAACCAGCATACATGGTTTGCTGCAGGACGTGATCAAGTTTCCTGTGACAGGCTGTGTTTTCACGGTCCAGACGCGATGTTCATGTATGTACTTCCCAGCCTTTTTGATTTGAAGTTTTTTTAGTTCTGAAGGAAGAAGTTCCGAAATGCTTTCCAAGGATCACTGTTGGGTTCTTGTTTGCAGCAACCGTCATCCCTAGTGGCTAGTCTAAGAAACCCACTTGTCTTTCCATGCATTCCCTGGTTATGCTGGCATTCCACACTCTTGAAACCTCTCTATCTGGCGAGAAGAGGGCCGCAGTTTGCTGCGACATTGTTGACAGCGTTGTGCTCGGAACACTTTGTCGATGACGACTTTCATCCTTGCTTTTGCGAAGACGCTGAACGCCCTGCCAAGAGACTCTGGAGCTTGAGAAAAAGGCATGACCCATCCCTGTCTTTGCAAGGAAGATCGACTGCTTGCTGATGCTGCTCGAGCTGCTGATGTTGAAGTGCAGAAAGACGCAGCCTCATCGCTCTGGTGTGCGGAGAAAGTATTCTGAGTTCGAGCTGTGACTGTGTGCACGATATGACAGGCTTTCACATTATGCACATAGCCACCAAAGTAAAACTCATGGACACTATCCACGGGTTTCTTCACCAGCACTACTACATCAGCTCCCTCTTCACTGTCGTCGGCGACTTGCCCCTGCGTTGGAGATCAGCACGCATGGTGTGGCACTCACTCTGGGAAACAGAAGTTCATCACTCATCCACTCGGACGCATGACATGTTGGGCATGATGAAGGTACACTCGAGGAAGACTGGTGCCCCTCTTAGTTCTAGGAGCATCAGGGTTCTGCATAGAGAAGCGTTCTCTACATCGACAGAGGAGAGAAGGTAGAGAAAATAAAAATAAATTTCAATCTACAGTAATCCGAAATATCCACTGAATGCGGTAAACTTACCGCTCCAATAACTCCTTCTTTTTCCAGACAGATACGCACCCTCATTCAGCAGAAAACTGTTCAGTTCCTTCACAGACCATTCTTTATTTGACAGCTCGTCCACGGGTTCCACAGCCATCGATGGCAAACCACTCGACACTCTCTCCTCCATCTCCAAAATGGAAAAATACAGTGTTTCACCATGCTCAACAACTGATACTCTGGACAAAAATCGAAGAGGATGCCCCATCTCGGATCACGTGACCGCTATTGTGCAAAGGGTCTATTATAGCGGCACATGAAGTATTGTTTCCCCAATACCTAGTCCCAGTGTTAGTAATGTAATGAGCTAGTATTGTGACACTGTACTGTTGTGTATGCTCATGCAGGTCAAGCTGTCCTACTGGGTGCTTTTGGTACAGGACAAACAATACCACCATACATAGAGACTTTTGGTAATGGACAACCTACAGCCTATGTTACCGGTTACTTACCTGTATGCTTTGTGTTCGGTGGATCAGGACCATTCATTCGACTAGAGAAAACTGATGGTAGTCTAGTGTTGGTTGAGAGAGGTGCCTTCTCAGGAGTTACTAGTGCACAGGTGAACAGCACAGTACATCCTATACTGAACACTTCACACACTGGACTGTACCATTGCAGAACAGTGGATCACAACTCAACACAGATATATCAACTCAACATTGTAGGTAAGTATGAACTGGCTTCTTTCTTTCTGATGCATGGAATGTGAAGACAAAGAGCGCATTGGTTTAAAACGAGACGCCCGAGCAACAGAAAGCCTCCTCCCTGATCACGAAGTTGCATATGACGCAAGCAATGTATCAGACGAGTTGCGGCACTCTTGGTTGCAATAAGACGCGAGGAGTATCTTTATAAAGCATGCTGTGTACCATTTATCTCTGCTGAAGTCAACAATGAACAGTTCTAGAGCTTTTTTACCGTACTGGCAATATGTGTTGCCGCGTAACGCGTAACGCAGGGGGTGCGGCGTAACGCGCGACCAGGCTAGTGCGACAAATTTTCGTTGCGTTCGTAACGCGCGTCCAGCGGGGTGCGGCGTTCTTTTCATTGCAAAAAAGGCTGAAAACTGTGAAAGCACGTGAACCGCGTGGTGAAAAGTTCAAAACTGGACGCAGCAGGAAGTCCTGCAATAGCAAAAAAAGGACTGCGGCAATATAGAAACCTGTGTAACGGCTCTTCTGCGACTTTGCATGTAACGCCCTGCGTGCGATAAACATGTGCCAGTGTAACGCTTCATGGCCTCACTGCGACCATATATATTGCTAGTACGGTATTCAGTTCCTTGCGTCAACAGGACAAAGTACACACAAACTCACACATACACTGACCACCTCCAGGCCGCCCACTGAGTGACTCAGACACAACATATTCACAGTGACAGTGACACTCATCCATACATGCACATGATGCCTGCTCACATTTACGCTGACGAAGTAGTCACATAGCAGCGAAACTAAATGCATGGTGGCAGAGCACGTCTCTACTAGGTTCCTGGTATGTGGCACTGGCAGTGTTGATGCCGACCATCTCCCGATGTATATTACTGGTCAACAGGGGGAATGGATCTCGTCGTTTGTGTATCTTGGCAGCTTCATATCGCCGGATAGCAGCGTGTCAGCTGAGCTCGCCGGATTGCCAGTGTATCACGAGCGTTTGGTGCTCTTCGCTGCATCTTTGATGATGGCAACCCATCATTGTGCACCAAGAGATTGATTGACAGCGCATGTGTGGTGTCGGTACTACTGTACGGCATGGAGTGTTGTCCAGTCCTGCGACGTAACGACTTCTGCATTGAAGGTTTTCATCACTCTTGCTTGCGTATCATCTTGCCTCTTTGCCGAGTTTTTTCCATTCCTGGGTTACTTGGACCTCATTCGCTTCCTTATCTTTGGACATGCTCAGTCCGTTGAGTTTGCGAATTCAAATAAACACAACCAACCCAACCATTTTGGGTGGGTCTCGGCAAGATCAAAAGTCAGATTCTGTGACCAATGGAGAGCTGAGGTAAAGATGGGGAAAGCCAGTGTTTTTATCCACCTGCATCTGCAAGCGACGCATGAAGTGCCTTGGACATATTGCACGTATGCAGGATACCAGGCAACCTAAACAGTTGTTTGGATGGTTTAGCAAGGCTCGTCCGGCACTAGGTCTACGCCTTCGGCTCAAGGACCGTGTTCATCACGACCTAGGCTCCTTGAATACACAATGGTTTTGCAACAACCCAGAATCGACCGTTGTGGAGATCAAGTGTCGTTGATGTAGTGCCTCCACCACCATCGTCTAAGCCAACTTTGCGACCGCCATCTAAGTGCGTCTGGGTACAAGCGGCATATGTGCAGTGCGGCCCGTCAACTTCCTGTCAGCCAACAGCCTGGTGCAAAGTCATGTCAGCGTTGTGGTAGGTGGTTCAAGAGTGCTGGTGGGCTGAAGGTACATAAGGGCCCTCTCGCAGGTTCCACCCAACAGCCAGCGGACTCTGGCTATCCTGCACCTCGCCTAGTGCTTCAACACCAACATTGTTGTCCATTCCAGTGCCCGTCATGTGACCCGTGCTTTCGATCTGCTTCTGGATTTGAATGGCAAAATTGCGAGTGTGGCAAGCGACCAACAGCGAGGGAGCGTCTCAAGTTCAAGATCTGCTGTGCGTGCAGCGAGAGATATCGCAGGCAGCAGGATATGCAACGACATGAGAGCGGATGTTCTGCCTCGACGCTGTGATGCTACTCCTTTGTTTCCCTCCTCATGAAGGCAGCTCAGCAATTTAATGGCAGCTGTATGTCAAGGTCAAAGTCAAAGTGTGTCACAGTGTGCGTGTGTGTGTGTGTATGTGTGTGTGTGTGTGTGTGTGTGTATGTGTGTTTGTAAGGCACTGGTCGTCTCTTCTCCAGGAGTGGTTTGCCTCGTCCTAAAGGCCTCGATGAGCGCCGCAAACCTGTATCGGAACAGAGAGGTAGCTGACAATGTTCTTCATGCGAGCGCCGGTTCCGCAGTGCTGGAGGTTTGGCTTTCCACAAGTGCCCCAACTCCCGGACTCTCTCCGCGACATCGTCTCAGGCTCCGTACCGGGCGGCGGTGTCTGCCATTGCTGCTCAGGCGACTCCTCCGCCGCCGCATGTGCGGCTCGTCCTCTCATGCTGCAAGGCGCACTGTGGGGCCTGTGGTCGGTGCTGCCGCTCTACTGGTGGATTCCAAATCCATCGATGCCAAAGATGGCTCTCTCGCCGTGCCGATTGAATATGGTCCCTAACCTCTCGGCAGACTGCCGACTTTCTGCCGTCGCTCGTCGTTTCCAAGTTGTCGGCCCCGCAAAGGGACACATGACCGTAATGGCAGTGTTTACCGGGACCCGGACCAGGTGTGTGTGTGTGTGTGTGTGTGTGTGTGTGTGTGTGTGTGTGTGTGTGTGTATGTGTGTGTGTGTGTGTCTATGTATGTGTGTGTGTGTGTCTATGTATGTGTGTGTGTGTGTGAGAGAGAGAGAGAGAGAGAGAGAGAGAGAGAGAGAGAGAGAGAGAGAGAGAGAGAGAGAGAGAGAGAGAGAGAGAGAGAGAGAGAGAGAGAGAGAGAGAGAGAGAGAGAGAGAGAGAGAGAGGGAGGGAGGGAGGGAGGGAGGGAGGGAGGGAGGGAGGGAGGGAGGGAGAGAGAGAGAGAGAGAGAGAGAGGATGAGTGTGAGCGTATGTGTGAAAGTGTGTGAGAGTGTGGACTTGGGTGCGTGTCTGGGGTATTGAGGACGTCTAGTTGTGTGTTGGAGTGAGTATATAGGTTTGTGTGTTGTTGTTTATTATACGCGTTCACGGGTCCGTGTGTGTGTATGTGCGGATATGAGAGCATGTACAGTCAGTATCGCCTATAGCATTTGTGTTTGATTTTGAGCATGTTATCACTATAGGCGACATATTACTATGACCAAATCCTGCATGCAATGTATGCGAGTGGGGTGTCAAACGACTCAGCGCCGTGCACATACGCACTACATACATGTACATGATTGTACAATGTCATGTAGCTGGCTGTAGCTCCTGACACACAAAATCAGGATTTCCTCATGATGGAGGCATATTTTGGCAACTTGTACAAGCAAAACTCACCAAACAACATTCACTGGACAAGTTCTTAACGAAGAAGTAACACCCTGTTGTCCTCTGACATCGCTTGATTTTACATCAATCACTATAACCGATGCAAAAATAGTGTAATAAAGGTCTTTTGAAATATGAATTTGATCACTATAGGCAATATATCACTATAGACGATTATTACTATACACGATAACTGTGTATACATAGCTATGGCAAATGTAAATGAATTTGAGAAACTGATTACTATGAGCTGCACCAAGCTAATAAGTGGCTTCGTGTTTTGCCAAAAAGTCGAGAAAACCAACAAAACGTCACAGTTGGCAAAATTCTACTCGAGCGCGATCGCGAAAATATTCTCTTTCAAGGAAATATTTAGTTTGAAAGCGGATGAAGCGAGAAGCCTTTTTATGTTTGAGGCACACTTCTTCAGTGTTCCCTCTTTCATCGTTGTGGGGATTCCTCAGCGTTGCCAGAGATCGTAATGGAGCTTCTAGAGAATGTGGAGGTGTAATAGGTGTATGTATGCTACTCACTATTCGTATTTCCCGCTCGTTCCCCTTGGCAATGAGCCACTCAGATAGAAGAGCGCATGCTCCAGGTTCCGTTCTGTTCTAGTCTAGTCCGTCTTGAGTTGTCGTTGTCCTGTTCTCCTTGTCTACACTCTTCTCGAATACTTCTATAAATTATCCAATCATATAAAACCCCTGTGTTCCGGTGTGAGGGGGCATCATTAGCCGGGAGCAGCTAACACTGGTGGCAGCGGCAAACGTCCACCACTACATCGCTGGCGGAGTATGTACGCCTTCGGAGATCGCCGACTATGAAGAACCACGAAGGCCCACGCAAGTGAAACCATATCCTCATCCACTCTCTTCGTCAATATTTTCCTTTCTGCATTGTGTTTCTTTCTGCTCGTCGTTTTCTAGTTGCATGCATTGTTTACCATGGTTTACAGTCCATAGGTCAAGCATTGGCGCCAACCTGTCTGGCCAAACATTTTCGGAACATTTTCTGTGTCCGTGTTTTGTGCATACTGGCTGCTGTCTAGTGTCTTGTTAGGATATCTGCTAGCTGGGTAGTAGAGTGTAGCTACACTGTGTCCGTAGAGTAGTTGCCTATTTGGAATTGTCTCTGCCAAATTTAGTTGTTTGCCGCTACGCACGATAGGTTACGTAATAGATTGAGATCGATAGTCGATCGAGTACGAGTCCACGGGAAATTTTTGCAGATAATATTTTTTTTCGAAAATTCAAAAATACAAAAACAATTTTTTTTTTCACAATGGGCCGTTCAGCGAAATCCAAGAGACAAGAAAAGCTAGAGCGTAGCTTCGCTGAAGCTGGCTGTGACATGAGCATTGCTGAAGAGCGCGAGAGTTCGCCGGTACAAGGGTTGTCCCATCGTTTTCGTTTGCCGGACACAGACACACCACATGCACGTCCACTGCCGAAGCCAGTTTTGCTTCCTGAGACATTCGGATATCAGCCAGGCCAAGATTTCACCACGTACATGAGGCATTTCGTCCACACATGCGAGTTGAGTGGGTACGACGACGACCAAAAGCTACGGCTACTACCTGCTCGCC